ACACACACACACACACACACACACACACACACACACACACACACACACACACACAAATTTGCCACTACATTCAATCAATAAAGGCCCAGGGGAGGTGGGCAAACACTCGAGAGGGTCCCAGTATCCTCGAGGAGGGAGTTTGGGAAACTGAAGGTAGAAAGGCTTGAAGTGACCTAGGTTGGGATGAGCATACGTGGTCTGTGCTGACCTGAGTTAGCTCACCGGCACACTCTCATTTACAGAGAGTATACAGGACTGTCTCATGGGTCCCTGAAACCTCTCTGTGTCTTCTTCCTCTTCTCCTCACCAGTACCAGGAATTCATTTTCACAAATCAGTCCTTCCTGACCATCAGAAATGCTTTGATTGTCCTGCTTGGGACTGAGAGAAGCTGGGTGGTCCTGTTTTCCTCTGGGAACAGGGCCTTTTGAGCCTGGAAGCCTGCCGTGCTCCTGCAAGAGGATGGCAAGTTGTCACTTCCTTGGGCTTTTGCATCCCTTAAAGGCAATTAACATTTCAGCCTTCCACTTAAATATGCTAGCAACAAGTGCAACCTGCACATGATGGCATTGGGGTGGATGCTTCCAGAAGGCCCGGCGTCTGTGCTCTTAGGACTCCAAAACAGAGCATATTAGCAAATGGAGAATTAAACCGTTGTACACTTTGTGCTGATACGAATAAAGATATTCTGTTTTTTTAGTTTGAATTTGCCATTATAGCTCCGTAGGGCCCAGCTTCAGCCAGATGGGAAATAAAACCTTCACAGGTGACAATTGTGCACCACTGAGAACTTAAGAAAACCCATGCGTCACCAGGAGCACATCACATGTATTGGCGTTTCTTAGGAAGAGCTGCATTTTAATATCCTGAACTGCTGTATCTATGAAAAGCTCCCCGAAACCATCTTTTCTACCAGTTTTAGTCAGGTGAGGTTAGGTTATGCTGCAGTAACAAACCAACCCCGAAAGCTCAGTGGCTTTATATGTGAAAACACATTTCTCATTCAGGCTGTCTCCTGAACCATTGCTTTCGGGCCTGGGGGAGGGAGCAGTGGCCTCTGGGCATTTCTCTGTCAGGCTGATGAAGTCCCTGCCCCCCTCCCCAGGTGTGGCTGTGCGGGGGCAGCATGGAGGTCCTGCCTTGCTCACGGGTGGCCCACATCGAGCGGAAGAAGAAGCCGTACAACAGCAACATCGGCTTCTACACCAAGAGGAACGCTCTCCGGGTTGCCGAGGTCTGGATGGACGATTACAAGTCTCATGTGTACATAGCGTGGAATCTGCCACTGGAGGTAGGACCGAATAGCCCTTCCCCATCACCCTAGAGTACTGACGTTATGTTTGATGGGTCACTGATCCCTTTACTAAGCCAATGGTTCCTCCCCAGAAAGAGGCTCACCCTTGCAAAATTATAAGTGTACTCTGAGGTGGCTTACAGACCTCCAGGTTTTAGAACCCCTGCTTTACATGGGGATCAGCACCATGGAAATCTCTAGATCTATTTACAGAGATTAGCGGGGTCTCACTGTGTTAATTCTGGTCTCCTATTAATCTTGACACCCTGCTTCTGAATGTACACGTGTCCAGAAGATCCTTGCCCAACGTTTTTGGCACCAGACCCTGCCGTCTGCTCTCACAGTGTGCCCTCCCGTGGAGCTCCAGCTGCCCCATGACGTATGTCCCTGCTGTATGCTGGTTCCTTGTTTACGTGGCTCTTCGGTTCTCTTCCATATTCTACCCAGAATATAATCTCGGAAAATCCCCATGTTACTACAGCCCCACAGGAGTATTGCATGGCGGTTGTGCTCTGGCTTGGTTGGGATCCCAGCCCTGCCATTTACGGTTATGACATCCTGAACAAATCTACTTATCATCTCTGTATCTTAGGTTCCTCAGCTATAAAATGGGGGAAATAGCAGGTCCTCCTTCCTAGGTTGATTGTGAGAACTAAATCAGAAGTACTTACTCTAAGTACTAAGTAAAGTACTAAAACTAAGTACATGTGATGTACTTAAAGCACAGGATATGGAATGTTGGCAAGCATTTCTGTCCTCCAGAGCACAGCGGGGTGACCTATACCCTCAGCCACAGGTGGGTTTATCTGTTCAGCCAGAGCACATGTAGGTGTCCGAGCTGTGGCATTGTTCCCACTGAGAAGTGGCAGCCCCTGCGTTTCAGGAGGCTGGAGCCCAGGACAGCAGAAATGCAGTTGAATATGTGCGGGTTTGTGGATAAAGAGGCTAAAAGTGAAGCATTTTTATATGATTGTTGTTACAATTATTGAAATCATGTTCTAAAGCACTGAAAACCCCCTTATGGCCATGCAGCACTTTATAGCTGTTAAACTAGAAATGATTTTCCACATTATTATATAAAAATAGGCAGCCTTTCTTGAGCTCCTTACACCCTCCCAGGGACTCGCTGAGTTTCTCATTTGCAAAATTTCGTTTAGCCCTCACAACAACCTCATGACAGAGGAGCTGCCTGCCCCGGTGTTCTCATCTGTAAACCCTGGTCTCATAGGGCTGGTCTCATAGGGCTCCTGGAAGGATAAAAATGAGGCTTAAAACAGAGCATAACAAATAGTAAGTGCTCAATAAATGCTAGCTTGATATGAACCCACTGTGATGTCCATTTTACAGATGAGTAAAGTGCAGCTCTGGCAAGTTAAATTGACTTGCTTAAGGTCCTACACCCAGCACATGGCAGGGCAAGGACGTGAACTGGCATCTTCACTCAACTCTGCCCACAGCCCTGTGACATCAGTGGAACAGACGTTGTCATTTCTCTTGTTTGCAGTTGAGAGTTGTGATCTAGGATGGGCGTGTGACTTGGGGTCCGAAGAAGTGAGGGCTGCCAACCCTATTTCAGTGCTTCTCCATCATTACAAACCACCTCGGTCCCTAATGCCAGTGTTCCCTACCAGGCTTTTCATAAATGACCATCCTCGTTAATCACGCTAAGGATATTAAAACAAAGAGTTAAATATCACTGCCCAGGTTTGCCTTTGGATATTAATGTTTGACATTTAAAGGGACTTTTCTTTAAAAAAAAAAATCACTGTTTAGCTGCTGAAGAAGAAATCTTAATGAAATCATTTAAACATTTCTCCTGCTCCAAGATGATGCTTGGCTGTCCGCCGTGGAGGAGCGCGTATCCTGTCTGCACTGGGTCACAGCCATCCTGTGGCTGACTCTGGAATCGTATTTCAGCTACTTTATTTTCCCCTGTCAGCACACAGCAGCACATTACAGGTTCACTTCTGTAAAAGCAGAGTGAATTATTCATTAGAGCATCATTACAAGCTTTGCAGTGGAAAATTATTTTCACATCTGCATATAATGAACTTCGCAAAGAGCCAGCAAAGGGGGGAAATTACACGTGTACGGAAAAGAAAGATGGGAGGAGGTTATAGATGTTTATTTTCTCATCTTAATCAAATAATTCCTCTAATAATTGGGTCCTGAGAGTCACTGAAGAAATGGCAGAGATGGAGATGGGGCCTAGGTTGTCAATATCAGTGTGTCGCGGGATCCCTTTCATGATGGTAAGGTCGGCTGACTTTGGGGGTTGCGTGCTGTGCTCGGGGGACAGTATTGTCTAGCTCGGGGCTAGATGATCAAGTAAGGGCTTCAGATTTCTCTCTGACGGTTTCCCCAAAGGTGATGCTGCCTGTCCTCCACTCTGGCCAGCGCCCCCTGGTCACTAATGCCCTTTGCTTACTTTCAGAATCCAGGAATTGACATAGGCGATGTCTCCGAAAGAAAAGCCTTAAGGAAAAGTTTAAAGTGTAAGAATTTCCAGTGGTACCTGGACCACGTCTACCCAGAAATGAGAAGATACAATAACACCATTGCCTACGGGGAGGTAATTAAGACCACGCATGCTCTCGGCTTGGGTGGCTGTGCGGTGGGCTGTGGATTGCTTTGCTGGGGGAAAACAGGGAACAGAGTCTTTCGCTCATTCATTCATTCAATGATTAGTTTTTGGAGGTGCAGGCTTTGACAGCAAGGCTCTCACCGGCTGGTGGGGGGATACATGTAATCAGTGGGGGTGTGGGCGGTGTGGAGTGTGGAGTGGACCATGAGTTCTGTTTAGGACATTCTGAGGTCCCCTGGGACCTGTAGGACATTCTGTGGAGTGTGGAGTGGACCATGAGTTCTGTTTAGGACATTCTGAGGTCCCCTGGCACATGTACCTGGGACATTGAGCAGGAAGTTGGGTGTAAAGAGAGGCGGGGACTGGACCTGTCTGTCCACTGCCCAGTGCCGTGGGCCGGAGCCACTTAACTGCCAAAGAAAGGGTACGGCTGCTCTTCTCAGATTTTCTATGATGTCACCTTTCTGAATATTGAAACAGATTGACTTTTCTCTTAGTACAAATGCCATAAACCTGCATTTTAGAAAAGTTTGAAAATAGCGATAATAGCAATGAACACTTACAATGTGCCAGTACTGTTCTAAGTGCTTTTCACATATGTGTTCAGTCACCCTCACTTTACTAGGCAGTAGTGTTATTTCCATTTTATTGATGGGAACGCTGGGAGTTAGAGACATGAAATACATTATCTAAGGTCTCACAGCTTGTAAGTCATGAAGCCAGGATTAGATGTAAGCATTCTAATTCCAAAGATAAAGTACATTTAGATGTATGGCCTCCTTTATTGTGTGTGTGTGTATTTCTTTTTACTAAAAATACAGTTTTTATATATGTACATATACTTTTTATATACACCTCTCTATGGATATAGATATGGGTATAGATGTATATAGATATTTGAAACTAAAACCAGGCTGTCCACAATGCCTAGTAATTTGAAATGTTACTAATAATAGAGACTATTTTCCTGTGTTAAGCCTTTTTCTGCAACATTATTAATGGCTGTATAAAATGGTACCTTTTGTGTATGCTGTGTTTTGCTTGAAAACATAGACATTTCTGTTGTTTCCTTTTTTAAAAAAAATATTATAAGCAGCACTGCTGAGAACATGCGTGTGTATAAGCACTTGGGCATCTTCCCTGTTACATCCCTGTGTGTTTGGATGAGGAATCGGTGGCACAGATTCTGGTCAGAGCTCCGGGAGCCCGGTGCTCTGGACCCACCAGAGATAGCCCACTACTTCTGGCATTTGGATTTCTTCCCAGGGCTCCCTGGAACTCCCCGTGACAATCACGCTGAAGCTAGGAAGACTCTCATGGACTTACAGTGTTTCCTTTTCTACAACTGTGAATTTTTCTGTTTTATGTGAGAAGCCTTTTGTAGGGAGTAAATCAGCCCCAGGTTAAATCATCAAGGTGCAGGCGGAGTGTCCCTGTGGGGCTGGAGTCTGGATGGGGAGCTTGCTTCTTGCAGGGGCAGTGAGTGTAGTGGTTAAGGACTCGTGAAGGTTCTGGAGCCAGCCTGCTGGATTCAAGTCCGAGTGGCTCCTTTCGGCGTCTGTCCCCTCATCTGTAAAATGGGGAAGTGAAAGTACCTACTGCGTGGGGTTGTTGGGAAGATGAAACAAGCCGCCATATATAGAGTTCTTAGACCGGTACCTGGTACGTCCTACTACTTATTAATAGGTCCACATGTTTCTCTTTGTTTTTGGTTTTCAAAGATCAACTATAAAGGAGGCATCGAAAAATAGTGGGCAGTAAGTGTATTATTTGTAAGACAATTGGGTAAATTGCCCAACTCTTTGGAAAAGAGAACAACTTAGATTTTTACAGCATATCATATCCCCAAGTATATTTCAGAAGGACTATAGCATTAAATGAAAGAAAAGAAGCCATAATCGAACCATCCGGAAATAGATATGAATCTGAACTGTGGGGACGGGCTCTCTAAGAGTGAAAGCTATGGAAGAAAATGCAAAGAAAAACGATATTTGATATGAGCTCATAAATATTAAAATAATCTATATATCAACTGAATGGAGAAATAATATTCCAAGCTGGAAATCTGTATGTCATAAATACTATAGATGAGTGGATAATACCATTAATGTATAATGAATTCTGTGAACTGATTTAAATAAAAATTTTGATTTAAATAAGAAAATAAAACATCCCCAAAGAAAAACAGACAAAGTACAAGAGAACATACGAGTGGATGAAATTCTTATATTTATTTCATAATCAAAGAAATTAAAATTTAAAATACACTGAGATAGCTTTTTTCCTTCTACCAAATGAACAAAGGTTCAATTTTGGACTATATGTTGGTACTTTGCCCGCGAGATCTTAGTAATATGAAAAAGCACAGGTCCTCTGGTGAGAGTGCAAATTGAAACAAGCTTTTTAAAAAGCGGTTTGAACCACCTGTATTAAAAGACTTAATGATAGTCATACTTTCCTCTCTCCACTCTTATCCCAAGCAAATAATCTGAAATGAGGACAAAGATTTGCGAGTAAAATTGTTCACCTCGGGGATTTATTTTTTCCTTGATCAAAAATTTGAATTTAACTTGAAGGTTAGTTAAGTATACTATATTAATAGTTCGCAGTAGTTTGCATCCAGTTCAAAAGGTGTGTACAAAAGTTTAATGATGTGAGAAAAATATTGATAATATAAGACTTAAGAGGAAAAAGTCAGGATTATAAAATTAGATTAGCTACCATTTTAGATCGGAAGTAAGCAAGAGAATAGTATTGGGAGCTGAAACTTCTACGTAGCGGGACAGACAGTTCCTATGTGGAACTGTTTATCATGTTTTCCCAAGTGTCACTAATGTTTATGTGATGATTTTATAAATGAAGAAAAATACCTTTGCAAAGAGAAAGAATGAAAATGCCAGAAGTCCAGGGCACAGTTCCCCAGGCTGTGGACTGCACAACTCCAGGGCCTGCCCTTCACATGAAGCACAGTGTAAATGACAGCTGTGGAGCTGAAGGGTGGAGTGGCCTTGGAGATAACATAGAGATCATAATCTGATTTTTGGAAGGGGGAAGCCTTTTGTTTTTGCAAATTTTCCTATCTTTTTAAAGTAATAAATTCAATACATACGTTACATAGAAAACAAAAAGATAAAACTTACATCAAATCCCAATTCCCGGGACTTCCCCCGTGGCGCAGTGGTTAGGAATCCGCCTGCCAATGAAGGGGACACGGGTTCGAGCCCTGGTGTGGGAAGATCCCACATGCCACGGAGCAACTAAGCCTGTGCGCCACAACTATTGACCCTGCACTCTAGAGCCCACGAACCACAACTGCTGAGCCCGTGTGCCACAACTACTGAAGCCTGCGCACCTAGAGCCCATGCTCCGCAACAAGAGAAGCCACCGCAATGAGAAGTCTGTGCACAGCAACGAAGACCCAAGGCAGCCAAAAATTAATTAATTAATTAATTATTTTTTAAAAAATCTCAATTCCCAGCTATGATCGATGTTAACACGTTAGGGCATTGGTTTCTCTTACTCCTTCTCTGCTTGCTGAGCTCACCATATACTGAAATATATTTCAGGTGGACTCTAGTATTAAATGGAAAAAACCAAACTGAATCAAATTCGGTTTGGTAACAAAATCTAGCATTATTTAGACAACTCTGTTTTTAACACTCCTGTGGGTTCTTTTCACCACACCCAGACCCCAGAGCAGTGGGAAAAAGAGGAAGGCAGAGTGAATATCACACTATATGAGTACTTTCTGGCCTTTGTTTTTCGTGTACAATTCTGTTTGGGAGTTTTTCCCCAGGCCAGTGAGGATTTCTGGTTTTAATGCTCCTTGTTCTTTCTTCATTTTTTAGCTAGCTTGTTTGGGGGCTTTTAAAAAGCTTTCTCATCATGTGCACTGTATATGCCCTGTTCTTATAATTACATTTTGGTAACCTCTAATTTATTTTTTAAATGAATCTCTGAGCCTCCAAAATGAAGGGTCAAGTGGTATGTGATACAAGAACCTTTACCGACCTCTTCATCGGTTGATGTGAATTTTCAGTCTTTTGTTAACATTATGTGGAATGTTAAAACTCAAACATTATTATACTTTATTTGCACTTTATACCTTCTTGAAGAATAACTTTTTAGTCAAATGCAGTTCCGTGACAGAATTTACCATTATTCAGACAATTGTATTTTAATGCTCACTGCTACTAGTTCTTTCTGCCACACCAGACCCCAGCACAGAGGCAAAGGGAGACAGACACCTCTGAGCAGGTGTCAGCCCCTGGTGTTTCTGCCTCACCCTACAAGCAGTGTTGGGGCCTACACCCACTTAGATAATAAGTCTTTCTTCCTTGAGTTGTACATTTTTATTCTGCTCTATCAGCTGAAATGTCTTAAATTAATTTTTAAAGAAAGATATGCAGGAAGGGATAAAGTAGGAGTTGGGGATTTGCAGATACTAACTACTACATATAGAGTAAGCAACAAGGTCCTACTGTATAACATGGAGAACTATATTCAGTATCTTGTAATAAACTATAAAGGGAAAGAATATGAAAAAGAATATATATATAAATATATATAGAGAAGATACACACACACACACATATATAACTGAATCACTTTGCTGTACGCCAGAAACTAACACAACATTGTAAATTAACTATACTTCAATAAAAAGAAAAAATTTTTTAAATATATGCAAATACTTTATGTCCTGACTCTTACATGTGTAAGATATCGCCTTTCCAATGCAAAAGCACTTCAGTGTGTACAGAAACGTTAGCCACCAACTCTTCTCTTCCAAATTCTGTGCTAGGCTCATACTGAAAAGCCTTTGCTCCCTAGTTCACTTTTGCTCGTCTTTTTTTTTCTTTTAGCATTATTTATATGAAATATGACACACATACAATATGCATAAACGAAACATGTGCAACATAATAATATAAAGCAAAAATCCGTGTAGCCGTCCCCTGGGTGGAAAACAGAATATTGCCAGCATCTCTTCCACTTATCCTCTTTAACGTTTAGCTCAGGTGTCATCTCCCCTTAGTCTCTGAAGCCCTCAGACGGAGTGAAGGCAGGCTCCTTGCTGCCCTGGCATAATTCAGTCATTGTACTAGCTCTTCCTGTGTCTGTCTCTCTCTTCAGACCATGCTTCAGAGCAGGGACTCTTTTTTTTTTATCTTTGTGCTCGTTCCACTTAGCACAGTACCAGGCCCTCAATAAATATTTATTAAGTTACTGAAAGAGAGATGTGCTTGCATAAACATTAGAAACACAATTTAAAAGCCTGGCTTTCTGAAATCATTATATGGAACACATGTGCCACAAAAACATTAATATCCTTAATATGTAAAGAGCTCTTACAAATCTATAATGAAACCACTTGAGATCCCAATGGGAAAGTACATAGGTAATTCTCAAAAAGGGAATAATTGCTAAACATGAAGCATTCCAATTTACTATTCAGTATAAATTTATAAAAACAGGATATCTTTTGTCTGCTCTCAAACAGTAATATTTTTTATTAATTTTTATCACCTCTAATTTTTATTTTACACTTAGTTTAAATGCTTTGTTAGACTTCAGTAGACATTTTTACCATATTGCTCTTATGTATACATAAAAAGAAAAATAAAACCAAAATACATTGGTAAAGGTATTTCTAAAATTTCATCACTTTCAAAAATCTAACTCTTCTGAATTACTTTTTGACTCAGAAGTTGTCTGGGCTTTTCCATATAATTAATCTTTGCACCATCGAAAGCACTGGCAACAAGCATTTCCTTAAAGCATCCATAAAAGAACTAAAGTCATAGTGCTGGTCTCCTAAGCTAGCTTTGCAATTCTTTAAAGATAGCTCTCTTTGGACCAACTTTGGGAATGTTGTTTAATAGGTCTGATTCATCACTTCTCTCTACATCCCTGTTTATGGACTTTTGGAACCTTGGGTTTAAAAAGAATGCTACAGGGCTTCCCTGGTGGCTCAGTGGTTGAGAGTCCGCCTGCCGATGCAGGGGACGCAGGTTCGTGCCCCGGTCCGGGAGGATCCCACATGCTGCGGAGCAGCTGGGCCCGTGAGCCATGGCCGCTGAGCCTGCGCGTCCGGAGCCTGTGCTCTGTGACGGGAGAGGCCACAACAGTGAGAGGCCCGCGTACCGCAAATAAATAAATAAATAAATAAATAAATAAATAAATAAATAAATAAATAAAAAGAATGCTACAGGGAAGGAAGGAAGGAGGGGAGAAAGGAAGGAAGGAAGGAAGGAAGAAAGAAAAGAAAGAAAGAAAAAAGAAAAGAAAGAAAGAAAGAAGGAAAGAAAAGGGAAAGAAAGAGAGAGAGAGAAAGAAAGAAAAAGAGAATCTATCCTAGGTATTTCAAACATGGGATTTAATATAAGGAATTGGTTTCCAAGAGAAAAGAGGTTATAGATATCAGAAGCTGCTTTTCCTCTGGCTTGAAACTTGTAGCTTCCAAAAAAAAAAAAACGCTCCCCCATTGATTTTTTTCCCCAAGCTGATGTTCTTTTTCTTTCTCTCTGTCCAGCTTTGAGATATAATTGACATATAACATTGTATAAGTTTAAGCTGTACAACTTGTTGATTTGATGCACTTATGTATTGCAAAATGATGACCACCATAGCATTAGCTAACATGCCACATAATTACCATTTCTTTTTTGTGGTGAGAACATTTAAGATCTGCTCACTTAGCAACTGTCAAGTATGTTGCTATCAGTATTGTCAGTTGTAATTACCATGCTGTACATAGATGCCCAGAACTTACTCATCTTATAACTAGAAGTTTGTACACTTTGATCAACACAATACTTTTAAATGGTGAAACTCAAGACTGGTTAAGTATTTACATACCTTCTGGATAGGAATATCAGTTAGTCCAAAGCTTCCAGAAAGCAGTTGGGCAGCATGTTTTAAGAACATTAAGGTCTCCACACCCTTTGATAGCGTAGGCTCTGTTCTAGGAGTATATTCTTAAGGAAACCTGAAACGTGAACAAAGCTTTATCCTTTGTTGCTCATTACAGCCAAAATGGAACAAAATTAAATTGTCCAAAATTGGGGAAAAAATTGAGTAAGAGGATTGTGAACCATTGTTACTTTCCTTTGTATTTTCCAGAGCATCTCAATGAGATGGTGTTACTTTTTAAATCTTTTTTAAAAAGTTATTAAAAGTCTGCTCAGTTGTCTGAACCCAGACACAACTTGGGTGCGCAAAAGCAGATTGCCCCGTGCCTCTCTCCTTGATTTATCCCTGGTTAGTTTGGTTTCCATGGAGAATATAATCCGGAGGAGGCTCAGATGTATGGGGTAGAGCAACAATGTTGCCATTTTCCCACTGGTTGAGATTTCAGGTGGTGGGTGGGATGGACACCAATATAGAATCACAGTGGGCCTGGAGATCCAAATTAGGTAAGTTCTTACATCCAAATTAGGTAAGAACTTACAGGTAAGTTCTTAGGTAAGTTTTTTCCTCCGCAGATTCATTCCGAACACTTAGAATGGTGCCTGGTCCAGTGTATGCATTCAGTAAATATTTTTTGAATATATAAAGGAATGTTGCTTGAGCTTTTCCTGACGGCAAGATTTTTTTTTTCTCTTTTGATTACTATTTTTCATGCCTCTATGCCAGTAATGACCTGAAAAGCTCACCCAGGGTTCCCAGGGTTGTGGAAACCAGTGCTGGTACCGGGGTCCACTTGGATAACCAATGTGTAGTCAATGTTCCTATGTCCGAAGGTTCTCTGAGATCTTCCTTTGTGCTGGGGATGGGGGAGCTATGTGCATGTGTGTGTGTCACAGGCAGAGGGCCAGTACCCACACCACCCACTGGAGGACTTTGTTGCTGAAGTGATCACCTCACAGACTGAAGCTTCGGTCCTTACTTGGGGGCGGGGGTGTGGGTCTCATGGCCTTTGCATCAAGAAGTCAGAACCAAGCCACAGTGGAGCAGTGGATGGGGAGTAGCAGCTCCACCAGATGAGCTCTGACGGGTCACGTTTTGCCTCTTCCTGCAGCTTCGCAACAGCAAGGCAAAAGACGTCTGCTTGGACCAGGGGCCGCTGGAGAACCACACAGCAATACTGTACCCGTGCCATGGCTGGGGACCCCAGGTAGGAGCCCGTCTCGGATCAGGAAGGGAGTAAGTTCACCGGACCTACAGGGGATTTGAAGGACTTCTGGGAACTCCTATCCTCTACTTTGGTAATTGTTACCTGTTCTGAGCAGCCGAGAGGCTTTCTGGTGGTTTCTCTATAGAGACCGGGGAAAAGATTCACAAGTGGTAGCATCAGCACAGATATTAAGAGGATCAATGGGCACATTTCCTACTGAAACGAGACTGCATACAATTTGTGTCATTTGCTAATAGGCAAACGGATGCCACGTGTACATATGTTTAATTATAACCAAATATGCCTGTTTACAACTTCAAAGAGTTAGCAGCTTCTCTCATGAGAATCTGATTGATATCTCTGTTCTGAAAGGCCATCACCAGTTTGGTGGTAAGCATGGCCTGGTCTGTAAGTGCTGCTACAAGTGCCAAGCACTGATTGAGAAGGAGAAATGTGCTTGCAGTAATATTTCAAAGAACACACGTGTCTTCTGGTCTCCCAGGAGATAGCAAAGATCACCAAAAAGGGCAAAACAATCAACCAGTAAAAATAGAGCCTGGTAAATGAGTTTCCTTTGACAGCTTTGTGCTAGCCCTCAGTGTGTGTGTGTGTGTGTGTGTGTGTGTGTGTGTGTGTGTGTGTGTGTGTG